TGTGCATCCAGTACTCGAACTCTCTTGGAGAGTAACCCAGTGAGGCATAGCGACGCTGCCGAAGTGCCAAGCGACCCCTGGTGATCCAAGCATGACATACAGTTTGACCCCGGTGAGCCGCTCACGATCCCGGCGACGTCGCCCGACCTCGCTACCCGGCGTCCCCATCGGTGCCGCCACATGTGACCTCGGTGAGCCACCCGGTGACCCCCTGCGTGTGATGCCGCTCCGGCGACCCTCTTTGACCACGTGTTCGTTCGTTCATCGACCACTTTAGCTGATGTGCAGGGGGAGGCCAATTCCGTGGGCATTGCTGTAATCCGCGAACCAATGCCCTGCGCCCCGGTGTCGACCAGAGCTCCCGATGAGCCGCACGCGCCACTGTCAGTGTCCTCCCTCCACAAACCTGCACCAAAGGTGGGGGCTCTCCTTCCTCTATTTCTCTCCAGATATGAGTGATTTTGTTCAGTTAGCCTGGGTTGCAAGCTCTGATTCGTGTGTGGCAGGCAAACTTTTTTTAGAAGAAAGCTCTATTCCGTCTCCAGCCACTTCCTCCGGGGCAGCAAGTCCGGTCTCCAGCAATGCTGGCAAGCATTTTTCAAGATACGACGGATTTGTGATCATGTTTCCAATCCAGTTAGTTTTAATCCGAAGCACTAGATGGTGAAAAAAATTCTCTTCATTTGTTTTCTTTAGTGTTCTTGAAGAAATAAACAGATGAAGCTTACCATTTATGACGTGCAACTCTGTATCTTTCTCTATATATCTCTCACTTACATACACATATATGTTAGTTTAGTAAAAAAATTGGTATTTCTAATGCTGTCCATTGTTTTTTCTTTTTGCAGAATCAAAGCATATGTGATATTTCTGCACCGTCCGTATTTCTATTTACTTCCAGGTATGTTGTTGCCTAGCAGTTAGCAATTCATAAGTTAGACAAAGTATGTTTTTTTCATTAATTTTCATACTGCCGCTTTTGATGGTGTATATGATGTAGGCAGCAGTATCTAGCACTTCCCCTCCCACTTCTTTGGAGTAGTTCCACGTTCTATTTCCAACATGTGGTCGTACCCAGTTCACATGGAATTGTTAAGTCCCGAAAACTCATCATGGTCTTACAGGTTTCTTCTCAGATTCTTGTGTACATAGAGCAAGTACTATGACTCAACACATTGTCTTCTAGGGCTAATTCTGCACCCGTTGTGTTTGAGAGCAGATATTTATTCTTCTTCTTTCACATTTAGCAGAAACAATTGCTGACACAAGTGCTAGAATTTGGTGTGTATCCATCATGAATTCAATCTGCTTATTCATGTTCGCCACTACATCCATGTCTATTAAATCATGGATGCTTATGTCACTCATATTGACCCCTAATATTTTAATGCAGAGATGAAGACTTGGATTTGCTTTTGCTTTGGGCTCATCATTTGTGCGGATATTTTGTATCTCGAGATTTATTACAGGTAATGGTGTTGATTAATCTCTGTTTATGAAAACGCAAATTGTATCTGGTAAGAATTTTGGTATAGTTTGTGTTCCGAGAATTTTAGTACAGTTTGTGCTTTTCAGAAATTTTAAGCTGGCAGAAATGGTTAATATCAGATTAAGGAAATGGAAATTCTATCACTCTAAGGAGACTTAGTTAATTGGATTTTTATTGAGCTACTAGGAGTTACTTTGCAGCCGCTATTTACTATCCAGTCTTGGGATAACTGAAGAATAATGTGGAGAGAAGTCTTTTGTGAGCTGATTTGAGCCTAGGTACAATTGATCTCTTTCTTTCTCAACACCATTTTATTTTTACTCCATGCTTCACATTTATTCTAGACATCAGTTAGTTGACTGAAAATGCGGTGAGTGATCTTTTATTGGATGATTGAGGTAAATGAATATTATGGAGATGGAAGCATTTGTCGGGTTGTTTCAGCTTACATAGAGATTGTTCTGTGATTAAGGCTTCAAGCTGCTCATTTCTGTCAGGTTTGCATGAGCTAAAAGAATAAGATACAGTGAAATCTTTCATCGGCTGATTTGACCTTTCTTATATTAATATCACAAAGTTTCGCACATATGGGCTGTTCTCTGATAAATGTGGCATCACTTCTGTATTGAAACATTACTAGATGGGGCCAAAAGAGTTGTCTTTGTTGATCGATATGCTATGGCCACAACATTTGTTTCATCGTTTATCCCAATTTTTGCCTTCGTCCTCCCTCTCTATTTATATCAGAATTTGGTGTGACTTTTAGATATATTTGAATGTGATTTGGGTAGACATTGACATGAACATATGCCCCCTACATTAGTAGTTCAAGTAGTTTAGAATAGGAGACACCAGGATGGCAAGTAGAATACCAACCAAACCACCCCCTTATGTGATTCCTATTGCCACATATCATCCCAAGTTTTGCTCTATGTACCTTTCATCGTACAATAACTATCAACTTGATCAAAAAGGGACCAGGAATGCAAATCTTGAAGGAAAGGCTAAGACATACTCTCTTTGTCATGATGCTATATTGTTCATACATAGTATTTGCACTACTAGGCCCGCTGCAACGCGCGGGGCATCATCTAGTTAAGTAGAATGGTGGGGCGCCTTTGTGGTCGAACAAACATGCATAGCATGGCAAACAACGCCATCGTCAACCTGTTGGGGATGATAGTGTCGGATAGGCCATCGCCTTCTGATGCTCTGACCGCGAGGCTTTTAGCTTGTCGAGATGGGTTGAATTGATGCTCCCATATCTTAACGGATGAAACTAAGCTTAGATTGAAACCCTAGCGAGTCTTTTTTTAAACACAGGCAAAAGTTTTGCCTCGTCAAGTAAATAAGAGAGAAATAGAGTTTGTTACAAGTAACCTAAATAGACGACGTAATATTACTCTCGCAAAATTATGGACCCTAGTTTTTTCGCACCGGCAATGATCCAAAGGTTGGCATCGGTCGCGATGGAGGCAAGCAATATTACCGGTGGTGCGCTCTTCTGCTTCAAGACTCTTGCGTTTCGCACGTTCGAGATAGTCCACGAAACAAGTATGGCGAGGGACACCTTGGCCAGTCGGTTTTGTGTGTCGTTGTCGTAAGTATTTGCCCGCCAAGCCTCAACCGAGTCGAACAAGGACCAAACGGTTATGCCAAGCCCGAGAATGTGGTATTTGTCAATGACCAAGGACCAAAGCTTTCGGGTGTAGCAGCATTTTTAGAACAGGTGAGCCCCACATTCTTGCACTCCCTTGCAAAGAGGGCAAAAATCATAGTTGGGCCACCCACGCTTCGCCAATCTATCCGCGGTCCAGATTCTATCTTGTAGAGCCAACTATGCAAAGAAGTTGGCTTTTGAAGGAGCCCAAGCCTTCCAAATCATTTTGTCCATGAGTGAGAGAACCATCCCTAGGAATTGCGCCTTGTATGAGGAAGCTGCCGAGTAGAGCTCGCTAGCCATATGTTTCCACAGGATGTCATCCTTGGTGAGCTCATCGAGTTGGACCTCATGCAAGAGTGATCAAAGGGTGAAGAACTGTGTGATGTGCTCCGCGGAGACGTTGGCAGGAGGTTTGATCTTGAAAATCCAAGCATTGTGCTTGAGGGCCTCCCGAACCTTCTAATTCTTTCTCTTGGATGCTTCGTGAATGAGCGGGGCAATGTCTTTTGGCTTGCGCCCAAAAAGCCAAGGAGAGTCCCAGAAGGGGGTCTTCACACCTTTACCAACGATGATGGTGGTGGAAGCATAGAAAAAATTTAGGTCCTCCTCGTCACATGGGTTCCCCATCCCCACCCACATCTTGGCAGGCTCATTCCATTTATACCACGGCCATCACAACCGGAGACCACGCGTAAACTTGTTGGTGTTGAGAACCCCGAGTCCCCTATATTGGAGTGGATGGCAGACAATCTCCCAATTTACCTTGCGATTTGCCCCGTCGTCTTGTCCGACCTGGACCATAGGAAAGCTCTCTCAAGCTTGTTTACATTGAGAAGGATGGTTGGCGGGATGACCAACGGTGTGGCGGGGTAGACCATCTAGGAGGTGATCACGGACTTGACAAGAGCCGTCCGTCCAATGGTGGTGATGCTTTGGCCCTCATAAGTTGTTAGCTTGCTTGCAACCTTGTCCACTAAAAACTAAAGATCCACCAACTATAGTTGCGAAACTGAGAGGGAGCCCCAGGTATTGCAAAGGGAAGGAAGACCTTCTAGCCGCCAATCCTTCGGTTAGGCGAGGTGGTTGCAACGAATGGGCACAAACGAGCTCTTATGGAAATTGATGCATAGACCCCTGACCTCCCCGAAGCCCCTCAAAATGTTTGGAAGGTTGTCCACATCTCTTCTTATTAGGGCCAAGAAGACGGTCGCGTCATCCGCGTAGAGAGAGGTCCTGATCATGGCTCCCCTTCCCCTAACTTTATGGAGGAGCCCCTCTATCGTAGCAACCTCAAGAATTCTTTGGAGCTGATCAATGGCGATGATGAAAAGTAAGAACGAGCAGGGGTGGGTCACCGAGCACGAATTTATTCCTGAAATGAAATGTTTGACCATGCCTATTTATTCCTGAAATGAAGAAATTTGGAGCTCTCCAGTTTTTTTTAGAATTCAATTATGGGGGTGGAGCAGCTAAACCTGTACACAAATAAGATGTGTATAGACAAGTTCCTGAATCAGATGCAAGTTTTAATGCGTTTCATAACTCATTTCAGTCTACATTCGCTAACAACCAGCCCGAAAAGGGTGGGCGCACGGAATAATTTCAGGCATCAGACTTCTCATCTGCATATGAAAGCAGACCAAACCAAAAAAAAAGCAGCTGAGGGCTAGCAGTTGATGGATCTGCTGCGCATTACTAATACGAAACAAAGTCAAGAGTTGCATCAAAGCAGCAGCATCCTTAGTGACTGAAAACATCAAAGTGCTTAACCAAAACTTCCACATGCAAAAATCTTCAAACTCTTACACGCTAAAACACACAGACCAGTAGAGTAGAGTAGGGACCCGCTCACATGAACAGGTTGGGCCTCGTCGCCTTGTAGGTGGTCTTGAGCTTGCGGGTGGGTGGGCGAACCTTCTGGTACACCAGCGGGAACTTGATCTTGGAGTTGTGGAACTGCTTCGTGTTGTCCCTCTTGCACAGCTTGAAGTCCACCGTCGCAGTCTTGATGATCTGGATGCAGGGGGCACGCACGCGGTGCCGTGACGCCATCTCCGTGTACATCTGCTCCACGCCGCCGTTCAGGGTCGTGTCGCGGTACTCCTTGTACATGTTGTGGTAACCGGTCCTGCTCTGGTAGCGCAGCCAGATGCCGTAGTTCTTGATGGTGGTGGGGTTCTTCTCAAAGATCTGACAGAGATAGACATACACAAACATATATACTTGTTAGAATAAGCAGACAGGACAATGAAGTACATCCATACATGAAGAATTACATGGATTGGATAATGCAGGTAACAAAACTAGATGAAAACTAAGGAACAAACAAAAATAAGTCAGCACCAGCCAGCTACAAGTTAGAATCAAAGCATAACAAACAACTGACAATCATTTACAATGCTAGAGTAAAATAACAGAAGTTCTGGGGTCCACATTTATATATGCATAGGAGATAACTGGGTAACCTCACTAACTTTAACATGACTCAAGGCAGGAAGACACTAAAGATTTCTCCCACCTATTAACAGTTAGTGAAACATGTAGGATATATGTTTAGGAATTACATCCCGAACCATTTTGATTTGATGTTACTACCAGCTCTATGAAGAAGCTAGATACATCTATTTTCTTTAAGCAAGAACATTAACCAGTCTATTCCTGGCCTTCTTAGCCAACCAAACCTTAATATACCCTAACTATGAGCCAAGCCATCCTGGTGATCTTCCTGACAGTACATACCCATCTTGAATTGTGGTCCACAGCAACTTGGTACCAGAGTTTACAATCTCTGTTGCACTTGACTCCACAAGAAAATATAATCTAATGGCATCAAGCATAACAGCCATTGTCAGCTTTGCTACCAAGTTGTCACAAACCTCAGTTCTCGATGGATAGATACTGCTGCAAAGATGACTGGGACAGCTTGAATTATAGTTACAGATTATACAAGGGTTAGCATGACAAGAAATTGAAAATCCAGAGTTTGTCCTAACTGATGGTTACACTTGCATATTTTCTAACTTTTTACATGTATTCAATGCTAGAAATAACATGTACTAGTATTTTCAAATCAGCATATTTGCACGTTTTGCAGTGCTATTTGTGTGCAATAGACAAAAAACATTTATGGAGTTAATCCAAAAACACTTGCAATAACATAACAAAAGCAGGGTGAATCTCAGAGTACTTGTAACATAACAAGAGCAAACTGAATAGAGCGTCACAAATTTGTTTCAGAGAATGGGCCATTCAATTTATATTTAGACAGAAATGCCCTACTTCAGCAATGTTGCAGAACAAACGAACTAAACCTACAGCATACAAGTGAGCCCGAGACCAATATACATGGACAACTAGATGAGGAACAAAGGACCTAAAGCAGAAACCACTCATCTTCGGCACAAACCACAGAAACGCTGTTAATATCGTTTGGTAAGCTAGAACACTGCAACGCTAGTTACATCTTCCCTATGCAGCAACTAAAATCGAGCAACTTCGCCGCATACAATACCAACATGGTACCAAATCTGATCTGATATATTACGGCAGTTAGCACCAGCCAGCACAGTTATGGAAGTTGCATTCACGGATCATGGTTACTAGAGGAGAGTGATATACCTCGTTGATGGCGAGCATCTGGCCGTTGGCCTTCTTCACCTTCTTGAGCTTCCTCAGGAAGTACCTGCGCGCAAACAAGCAAGCAATCACATAAGCCCCACGAAACCGGCAAAGTAGATCGAGGCCATGGCGCGGCGAGGTCGGTCGGGGAAGGAGACTAACCAGAACTTGGACTTGGCGCGGACCTCGTTGGTGGCCCAGAGCTTCATGCGGTAGATCTTGGGCTGCTCATCGCCGGGGGTCGGCAGCGCGCGACCCACCACCTGGTACTGGTGGAACTGCGCGAAAACAAACACAGAGAGGTCAGACACGAGCCCACGACGAAAAGATCGATTGCGCGGCGGATCGAGAGGCCAGGAGGAGGACGGCGGGGTAGGGAGGGAAGAGGGGCTTACCCTGTGGGCGACCATTCTGGCGAGCTCTCGAGACCGGAGGCGGAGGAGAACTGAAACCTAAGGAGATGGCGGCCGTCGGGGGAGGGAGAGGAGGCGGACGAGTATTTATGTGTGGGAGGCGTGGAACCCTAGCGGGCCGTGGTTTATGGGCTCCGTGCCCCTCTGATTCAGTGGGCTGCTTTGGGCCGGACGAAATTGGCCGTCCCTGTTAGTTACTGGGCCGTCATTTGCCAACCTCTTTGCTGCTAGTTTCTGTTTTTCCTTTTACTACCTCTGTTTCTTTCCTAAAAACAAAAGCCTCTGTTTTTTTTAAGAATAACAAAACCCTCTGTTTCTAGGTGACTTTGAGGTCTTTGCTTCACGCTACTGTAACGTCATCTGATAAGTTTCAAAAAAAAAAAATCATCTGATAACAACGGTAATAGTTAGCGCTAAATCATGTTTTCTAGATTGATCTGCAATTTGAATTTTGATAACCCCGTAACAGATCCCACCCTATTGAAAACAGATTTTGAAGATATTCGGCGTAATCGAAATATGATACGGCGTGTCTCTCTCCCTCGCATTGACCTTGTCGTCTTTTTCCCAACCATGTCACGATCTCCACCTCTGCCCACCACTCCTCCATGGTTCAC